AAAAGCTTTGTAGCTTTTTGTATGCCACTTATAGGAAACTTTTCTTTGTATTGTTTACCTTCAATACATAATTGACAAAAAGTCATTTTATATATATCAAAAGGATCAATGCCTTTTGACATTAATTGTTGATTTATATGGCTTAGTCTTAGATGTCATAAATCAGCCTTACTCAAATTTTGTATAGTAGTTGGTATTGCCAATGCTTTTTGATTTGAGATTATAATAATGTCCAATTTTATAAGTTGGGATTTAACTTGCACCTTGCAATTGTATGGTCTTGTTTATTTAATAATGTTTAAATTCAAAATTTAATATAAATTTCACCTCTAATTTTCTCTAATTATTTACAAATTCTTTACAAGTTTAATTACATGTATGACATTAGATATGATTTTCTCTATACCAGTTAAAAGTCTTATTGTAACGTCACCATGTTCTTTTATTTTATAAGATGTACAATCATCTTATAAATGCATAAGTTTTTAATTTACATACTTTAGATAATTAGTGAAAATATTTGATTTATGATACATATGTTGTGTTGCTCTAGAATTTACATATTACATAGAAGTAGATTGTGACTATAATTCCATAAAGTCTATTTGATTTTGTAACCATATTTAATTATTTTATCTCTTGAGTAGCTATTCTTCTTTGCAATTATAAATAAGATATATATATTTTTTACAATAAAAGCATTTCTTGTCAATAGAATAGTTCTTTTTCTCAAAAGATCAAGAAGATTTTTTAAACTTTTTTTAAAAATTCTTATATTTTTTTAATATAGTGTGATTTTTTATTATTATAAGATTGCTTCTTTTAAACCTAAAAAACTAATATATTTTTTATAGCTAAATTCATATCCTTTATTAAGATTTTTTATTTTATTAATTTTCTTATTAATGATTGTATAAAATATCTATTTGTATTCTTAAAGAGTTAATTATAGATCTATAAGATAGGAGAAAACTTCTCAAAAGAGTTAAAATTGTTTCATCATCTTGAATTGGACATCTAGCTATTAGCAATTGCTTAAGGTAAGATCTAAACACATGAATATATTTAGTGATACTCTCATTTTCTTTCATTTTAAGAGTGTGTAGTTTGTCTTTAAGATACATCTTGGTTATTGCATCTTATGATTCAAACATACTTTTTAATTCCTTCCATAATTTATTTGATGTCTTATATAATTGTATATGTAATATAATGTTATTTTTGAGAAAATTATTAATTATTGTTAGAAATAATATATCTCTATCTTCTCAATGGGTATTGTTTTTAACTCTTGTAGCATGCAAAGTTGACATACTAGCAATAATTTGTGATGTATTAGGTGCTATATGTAAGGATTTAAGTTGCCAAATGTTAAAGTTGCCAAATGTTAAAGTTGCCAAATGTTAAAGTATGTGCCATCAAATTTAAAAACATGAATGATATCAACCTTGTAAGTCATTCTTAATATTTTATAGAAGGAACTTACTACATTTTGACATCTAACAATGAGAGTAAGCGTTGATAACGTTTTAATATCGACATATTCACATTCATTACGGTGACATTTTGATATTTGATCGTAAACCCACAGGAGACGTTGAAAGCGGCCGATGTTCATGCTGGCTATGGCATCCACACAGAGGTTCAGGTGCTACGCGGCCCATAAGAATCCGTCCGATTACTAACGCAATTCCTTGCGTAGAAAAAAAAACACACAAACTATTCGCTGTAGAATTCATTTCCACTCGATTTCGGAACATTGTTTGGATCTATGAATGTTGATTCATCCTTGTTGAGCCCCTCCCAAATCTCCTCTCCGGCTGCGAAACCTGACCCATATCGAGGCGTGGATTTCTCCCTCTTGTGCTCGAACACAGACAGTCCGGTCTGGATCTGCGTTGGTCAACTAACTCCTTCTTTCAGTTAGTATCTGGTCCTTCCACCGAGGTAACGCAAGTCATACAATCTTCCAGAGCCAGTTCTGTGGAGTCAGTGTGACAAGTCGGCACCTCAAACTCTACGACCGTTAGCGGTGGAAACTCTCCGCACTTCACTGATGGTCTGGGGAGTCGCATCTGAAGGCACCTCAGACAACGCCGCATAATTGTAGAAGAAACGGGTTCGATGATTGTGGAGCGATCTAGGCGTGATGGACAGCGGCAACGTGTGTGCATACTGGATGTCATCCTCCTGCTCCAACACTTTGCCACTTGTCTCATTGCAGTGACGGCTGTGGTCTCAGCAAACGCGGCTGTGGGATAGAACACGATGAGCTCATGTATTTCGGCTCCCGCACTGTCACCATGGGCTATGTCCAGCTCGTCGGCGTCACCAACCCAAATACTGAGCTAGATTCCAGCTCCCACATGCTTCTTCTCCAACCACTGCTTCTGCCATACAAAACACAAATTAGGAGAATGGGTTGGAGAATGAGCTCTAGGGAATGCAATATCACAAGGAAACAGACTGAAGAATGATCTCTAAATGTTCTCTTCAAAGATTGTTTTTATCAATTTATGTTACAATTTAGAAACATTTACAGTAGAATCCCAATGATTGCGCTCCTCCCAGCTCCAATATTCCAAGTCTCCATCGTCCTCCAGACATTCGTTCTAGAGTCGCACTGGTCGAGGGTACAGTACAACATCTTCTACTCGTATCTTGCATTAGGGTTCACTACTGTTGCACGGTGTTCTCGGGTATATCTCTCCATGACCTCGCTCAATGCTCTGATGATTTCTGAAGCGGTAGTCCATATGGACCGAATTTGATTGACTTCTCTGGATTGCACAAGTCCTTAGTATAGCTAATTTTCGGCATCTTCGGAAGTTCGGTAGACTTCCTTGCAACTGCAGGGTTGAGGGCATCTCATAATTGTTGAGATTCATCAACCAGCCTTAATGTTATTATTGGATTTGGTTGTCGAGTACGGGAGTGAAGTAGTACAGCACATGATCAGAAAAATGATGTGAATGATAACCAGGGAGAGCCCTGCCACTATTATATAGAAATCATCCAGGATCGAGGAATTTTAAACGACGTTGGGGAAGAGTGGCGCCGGCAAAGGAACCTGGCGAGCTTTGAATTTATGCCTCGCATTCTCTGTGTTTACTGTTAGCCATTATTGACCTGGAACAACGTTGTTATTTGCTGCAAATGTCGATGATGCGAATGAAGCAGTGACGTAATATGATATGCTCAATTTCACTGTTACTGGTGGCTGCCCATTCCATGCAACTAGGTCAAGGATTCCTCGTTCCAATATCATCTCTTCGGTGATGTGTAAATTCCACCTTGCCATTTAAAATGCATTCTTCTAAAATCTTCCTCAAATCCGTTGTTGCTTCAATATGTGATTGTAATTTATAAATAGGAGCCTTTGCTTTTTCTTTTACAATTTCTCTTTCTTTTGGAAAAATATTCTCTTTTGTCGCTTCATGCATAGGATTTTTATGTTGTCGTGCTTTTTCTCCCCTCATAGTTCTTTTATCTCATGGCCCTTCATTATTTTCATCTCTCTTTTATTTTTCTTCTATTAATCTTTTATGTTGATTCTTTGCAACATATGCATGTACACATAGACTATCAATCAGATCATTCCAACCCATGGTTTCTTGAATAGACTTACCCGCATTAATTAATATATTTCTAGCAACCTTGTCATTTGCCGCACACTTCATTGTACTTGGCCACAATGAATTTATATGATCCAATGCTTTAATGCTTATGCTGGCACAATCTTGAGTAAGTCCAATTCTATATGTCTTTGTTTCCTTTGCATGAACCATCAATACTTTCATACCTCCATTGCCAAAGTTTGTCTCCAATTTTTCTTCACTTTTTTTTAGGTGTATTATATCAACTTTGAAAAAAACAATCTCTTTATGTAACACCTCTATAAAATCTTCACATTTCCTTCTCGAATGATATATGCTATCATATCACATGCACCTATGTACTACACCTTCTATCGATCCTAACCTTTGTTTTATTAATACTCTTGATGATTGAACCTTCTCTTCAAATTTTGCAAATTTTATTTGCAAATCTCTCATCTCTTATATAATTTCATTGATGTCCATTTCATCTTTCTTTGATGTAGCCATTGAAGGTTGAATCATAGATATAAGATTGGTAGTAGGTATTCTTACTTGGGATATTTGCAATGGTCTTTGAATACCCACCTTGTCCTTTTTTTATTCTCTTTTCTCTTTTTGCAAGCAATTCTACTACCTCTTCTACTTCTTCCCAATTTGTTGTTAATCCTTCATCTTCTTCTTTATCTTCAAGCAAAATTTCCAACTTTTCTTGCAATTCTTCATTACCTACTTAAAGAAAAAGCTTGATTTTACTTGGATCTAATAACTACCCATCTTTCTTTGATAAATAAAAATATTGCTTTTCAAACTTTTTTAATGATTCTGTTGCTAGAAGATCATTTTTTTTTTTTTCCTTTTAATTCATTCAAAAAATGACTTTTTTTGTAACCTTGTTACTATCTTCCAAAAAAAATTCATCCTTCAATGCTTGGGAAAATTTCTCTTATAAACCTCCAAAATGTGCTATAAGAAACTTTACTTGATTTCTTATCTTTGGTACAAAGGCTAATTCAAATAATTGAACCATCTTCCTTTCTTAAATATACTTTAATTTTATTTTTTTGACATAACACCTTAAATATTTTATAATATCATTTTCTTCAAATTAATCAATCTTATTTACAACTTCTTGTAATGTTTTTTTTGCCATACTTTCTTTGCGATCTTTAATCTGTTGTTATTGCATAAATAAGGCAAAAGCTTTAAATATGTTTGCAAAATTGAGATTGAAATACATATTTTGTTCTTTACTAGTTCTGCCACTTATAGCTCCTCTTTCAACTCTCTTGCCTTTCTTTTGTATAATTTAAATAATCCAAGAAAACCAAATATCTTTCATCTCAGGTTTTTTATGTCGAATTCACCAAATATGTTGTATTATGGAAGGTAAAATCGAAATTGCTATTACAAAATCTTAAGTCTAATAGAATATTAAATAAACTCTAATTAAATCTTAACAATGCAACACTAGCTTTAATCAAATTTAAAAGAAACCTTAAAATAATTACAGGAGAAATAATAAGAAATCTTAAAAGCCATGTCAATGTGCAACTTGATCCTTGTTAACCTATTGTCACTTTGTCAAGAAATGTTCAAATCTGAGAAGAACACACAAAAAGATTATTCAATTTTGTTACAAACACTCACACTCAAGTGAAAGTAACATTTCATAAATTATAATTTATTAATGAACCCAAAGTTGTACATACCTTCAAATATGATCAGATATTCAATTATGTGAACATAGAGTTTTGAAGCCTCTCAACCACAAAACTGCTGCAAAAATGAAGAAAGTACAACAATATCCCTAATTTTAGTTACAACTCAGCCCAACATTATGCTCAAGTGTAGAGAGAGAGCAGCTGTCTGAGGCTCGCATTGAAGCTTCAAATGACCAAAATGCTAGCACATCTATGCCAAGCATATCAATATCCGATTTGAAAACAAAAAAAAAAAAAAAAAAAAAAAAAAAATCCTACTGGTATATACTTGTGGGGGTGTTCACCTAAAGCTGTGGCTGAAACAGGTTGAACAAAAATAAACTTGTAAAATGAGGGACCCCTTGTTGGGATTGAAAAGAACATGAAATGTATTAATTAAGAGGTTGTGAAAGCACGTCAATTGTTACTATCATCCACCACGTGCAAAGGCATCTTTCGTTGAGGACGACTTTCAATCTGCCAAGTCAATATAAGAGTTTCAAATACTTGTGCACCACAATCCACGTACATTACCATTTAATCCATGTAGAACTACAGAAATTGAATACCTTCGTAAGATTGATGCTTCGCAGTGCTAAGACAGTGAGTGCCTTGAACGGAACACCTGGTCCTTCTTAGAATGTGGGCACAATACTGGTCTGCGTCAAGACAAATCACCTAGACAATTTCGAGCAATGAATATGCACGAAAGTGGAGACCTCAAACTTAAAAAGTTGAGAAAACACTGAGACTTGCACAGGCAAAAGACTGTTTGCATGCAATGTCATCCCAAGAAAGAAATTGCATATCTGCTAACAACAACCATGGATCACTTGGCCATAGACAGCTGCAGGTATACACCAATAAGATTCTTGACGTGTCAGGTTCTTGTTCAATAGTAAAAATTCACGTTAGTGTATCTATAAAGAATGAAAACCCATCCCACCTTTAATGGTAGACCAGTTCCTGGAACAATAGGTTGTTTAGCAAGCATTAAAAAGCGAGTGATATTGTCTAGATCATCCTGCACTTTCTATTATCACAAATTACCCACTTCAGGCAATGATCGTGTATCCTGAATCCATGTTGGTGCCCAAGATCAACCCAGAAACGTACTGGAAAAGCACTTCTCACTAAACAACAAAAAACAAGACCTTCCAACAGCAGAAATTGACACTTGTATTTGTCTATCCTCAGGCTCTGTCCAAAATAAATTATACGTTTCAAAGGGACAGAATAATACCCGTTTGCCATCTTTAAGGATGTCCTGCCTGTATATTTCTGTGGCCCGTGCATTTCCAGCAACTCCTTTATTCCGAATTTTATGAATGATTAACTGCGAAAATCAGTATCACATTACCTTGAATCTGATTCTCCATTAGAAGTCCTGCGCAAGATTAAAAGCACTGCACATTCGATTAACATCAGAAAACACAACTAGATGCACAATCAAGAAAGGCACAAAACTTCACCCTGAAAATAATCACTAAATCAATGCAAGTGAACGCACAAAACTGTCTCCGCAACTAAGCTTCAGAAATAACATAGTTTAAAGAAAAATAGAAATATCCCCTTCCAAAATCCTAACATGAAATCTCAAAAGGTAGAAATGACGCTTAGAGAGATTTTATAGTTATAACAGCCATCTGAATTACAAACTTCAAAAATCAATAGTTTGATTACCTGTGCAGCTACAGCTGTATGACCTAAAGTTTCGAGTCATGACGAACTTCGTCGATGTTTGCTCACATTGAGTTAGAGACTGTGATTTGTAAACAAAGTTAAAACCAGATAATAAATGTTCCAACCATTATGCAAATATGAAAGACTTTACATTCTACATCAGACATAAACGAAACTAAAGGGCAATGAGTTGATAATAATAACAGTAATTTGTTTATAAAGAATAATGACTTAGATATATAACGACTCTCTACATCACAATGGAAAAAAAACTCTCGATTAGAAGTTCAGTAACTAGTAGCAATACACACTTCCTCATGCTACTGGCAACTGGAAGTAGTACTAAAAGAGACATGGTGTTTTTCAAGCAGCAACTTCTAAACCAGTAACTTGGAAAATTTTACACCACAGCCACTCTTACCCTACACTATTCTGATAATGAAAATACACCTCGAACAAAGCAACCACTAGTGTGTGAAGCATTATGTATCAGGGTGTGACTAAAAACTCGTAGTAATCCCGCTTCCTTAACGCCTGGAAGTCATGTACGACAATGATGAACTGCAAGTTGAAGTTTACCAACTATGTAGGGACGATGACTTTGAAGTAGATCATAATTGCGATGAGTGCTTCCATCGACAGCATTCTCTATCGGCAACACTGCTCTCTCAACTATCAAAAGCTTGACTGACAGGAGTCCAGAAGCAAAAATATTGATGAGAAAGCAACCAGGCACTAATCTTAGTGCAAATTTATCGTGCTTCACGCTATGGACTGAAACTACTCGCAAGTGATCCTTAAGAGATTACCTGATAAGGAAAAACAGGAAATCAGGTCGATGCCTGGATGGTAAAGACAAACCGTAGCAGGACAGAGGCTCTGTTCAATGCTCAACGAGAACATCGAATCAGACGATCATAGATAAGGATAATTTTTCGTAGGTACTTTTTCGAACAGGTCACACTATCACGAATCCAGACACTTCCACAACAAAAAGGTTGACAACAAATGCCATCCGCGATAAACATACAAACCTTGTAATTCTAAGATAAACTCAGAAGAAATCCAACAAAACAGGTAAACAAACTCCGAAACAAACTTCTGTACGGGCACCTCCGTGCAAGAAATGAGATAAACAAATTCTCGTATACGTTAAACTGTAGAAGCCTGCTGCATTACTTCAAATCTTCCGTATAAAACTTGTCCAGATTGGAAGCCTGAGAAGAATTGATAGAACACCTGGAGAACATCTAAATTTGGCAACTCGCAAACTTACAGCCTCAACAGAAGTCCCGATGAAATATAATCATTATTCGGAACTTATTCCGTAGGAACAACCGGCGTCTCAGTGTCCTAAATTTCCTCGGATTTCCCTTCTTCAATCCGAGTATTAGACTTATCCTGGATGACGAGGACATGTCTTTCGCTAAAACATCCGCCAGCTCCATTCAAAAAAGTTTTCGGAGCAAAGGACAAACTACGCCTTCCAAACCAACCAACGCAATACAATCTGGCCACCGGAAACAAAATCCAGATCCTCCGCACCTTTTCCACTGCTTAATTGTACTTACTCAAACGCAGGTTGCACTCTCCCAAATTCACCTCACAACAAAGTCTAGAGTAGAATGGAACTGGGGCTCTGACTCGGGCGATATACCCGCTCTTCGAGCATCACTGGTTTCGTCCAAATTTAGAATCCAGACGCCATCATCGAAGCTAGTGCCCTCTCATGTGTGACGAACCACTCGGTTCTAAACATTCATCCACTTTTTCTCATCCATGTTTACTCCAGATGAAGGGTGGATGTTCAATGGATGACAGCACGCACAGACAAACCGAAGAGAAGAAACAAAGAACACGATGAGGGGGGTACGAATTGCCATTGCGATTCAACAACACAAACCAATGATAGGTGATGACATCGAGGTGGATGAACGAACATCCAGAGAGAAAGAGGGGCGGACAGGCTCAGTGAGTTGGGGAGGATAACGGAAACACTAGTTGGAGCTGTTATTCGCAGGATGTGGGCTATAATGGTGTCATGGAGGAGGAAGACTTAGTTTGAAAAGGTGAGTCGTGGGGGGGAAGGATTGGGGATCGCCTCCGCAACCTCGGGCACCAACCATAACACTAGAAAGCAATTAGAGTCCGTGCGGGGCAGTTAGAATGGGTGTCACAAAGCGAATGAACACGCGGCAAGACCCATTTCCTCAAGAGGCATGACAAGCGCGCGGGCGGGCGTGGAAGCCAGTGACGTAGCCCCGGCTTCGACGGGCTCCCGTGAATGGACGAAAGCAGGCACCCAGGGAACGTCCCGTTCTTGCCAGTTCCCGCGCCCGTCTACTCTCCGCCTCGTCTTTTTCTCTCTCTCATTCCTGAGACTGCCTCGTCACACGTCCTTCTCCACCCTCCATCTCTCCTATTGTAGTCCGCTCCCCATTCTCTCTTATTTTTGTACCACGCTTCGGGTGTCACTGCTAACCCTAGGCTCACGCTTCCCTCTCCTTCCCCCCTGCCCCACCGCGGCCTGTTGGTTCGCGCGTTGAATGCGGATCGTCCAAGCAGTTCTCTACCTCTCCCTCTCCTTTACATCATTTTAGATCTTTGTGTATGTAAGGGGCATTTGGGTTTGGTGGAGTCCGATTTTTCTAACCATTTCAGCGGGAGTTAGGAGGGCGGGAAGTCTGGCGGACCAGGACGGGTCGGCGGCCATGGACTCCGATCAGGGCAAGCTGTTCATCGGCGGCATCTCTTGGGAGACGACGGAGGAGAAGCTGCGCGATTACTTCAAGAGCTATGGCGAGGTGGCGGAGACGGTGATCATGAAGGACCGCGCGACGGGGCGCGCGCGGGGGTTCGGGTTCGTGATATTCGCGGACCCGAGCGTGGCCGATCGGGTGGCCGGCGAGAAGCACACCATCGACGGAAGAACGGTAAGCGCTCTGTCTTGGACTCGGGGAGGGGAGGGGAGGGGAGGGCCGGTGGCGTGGTGAGGTCAGTGCGGTAGGGCGCGAGGGTGGGAGGGAGGGAGGGGGGCGGTAGGTGTCGGGCGAAGGGGGATCGAGGTGGAGTTGAATGCATGGGAGGGGGGTGGCATGCGGGAGTGCGTGTGGTGATGGTGGTTGGTGGCATGAGGTTGTGTGGCAGTTGTATAACTTTGTGTAGCGTGTCTTTGTTAAATATTTTTTTTTCCCATTCTAGGTGGAAGCGAAAAAAGCTGTGCCGAGAGACGAACAGCAGAGTATACCTAGGAGCAACAGCGTGGGTGGCCAAGGGCCTGCAACATCCCACACTAGGACAAAGAAGATATTTGTGGGGGGCTTAGCCTCGACAGTTACAGAGGATGACTTCAAAAAGTATTTCGAGCAGTTTGGTACTATTACAGACGTGGTTGTTATGTATGACCACAATACGCAAAGGCCTCGGGGGTTTGGCTTCATCACTTTTGATTCTGAGGATGCAGTTGAGAACGTGATCCAGAAGTCGTTCCACGAGCTGAACGACAAGATGGTGGAGGTGAAGAAGGCGATTCCGAAGGAGCTGTCGGCGGGGTCGGGGCGGGCTGGCGGGGGGTTCGGCGGAGGCGGTCGCGGCGGGGGCAACTACGGATCGGGGTACAGCCAGGGAGGATACGGGGGTGGGAGTCCGGGAGGAGGGAGCGGATACGGGGGGCGCGGGGACAGCCGGTACGGGCCGACGCCGGTGGGGCGAGGCGGGTATCCGGGATACGGGGCCGCGGGGTACGGCGCAGCGGGATTCGGGAGCAGCGCGGGGTATGGCGCGGGGATGAACGGGGGGTATGGAGGCAGCGCGTACGGGAGCGGCGGGGGGTACGGGAGCGGAGCGGGAGGGTATGGGAGTGCAGGTTACGGGAGCGCTCCCGGAGCGGGAGGGTACGGAAGCGGGGCGGGGTATGGCAGCGGGGGCACGGGGAGCGCAGGGTACGGGAGCGCCCCTGCGGGAGGGAGGAGCGCGTGGGGGAGCGGGGGTGGGGGATACGGGACGGGCGCGAGCTCGACTGGGTACGGGGGGAGCGGGAGCGGGAGCATGAGCGGATACGGGAATGCGGCGTGGGGGACGACGGGGACGGGAGCGGGGGCAGCAGCGAGCTCGGGGTACGGGAGTGCTGCGGGGTATGGTTACGGGAGCAGCGAGACAGGGTACGGATCGGCGGGTGGGTATGGCGGTAGGGGTAGCGGGTACGGATCGAGCGGGGGAGGAGGAGGGTACGGGAGCTCGGGCGCGGGGACGGGGAGCGGGAGCTACGGTGGGGGAGGGTACGGGGATGCATATTCAGGGTACGCGGACAACACATGGAGGTCGTCGGGGTCGGAGGCGTATAATTCGGGGACGACAGGGTCGGTGGGGGGCGGGAGCGGAGCGGGGTTCGGCGTGGGCGGAGGTGCGAGCGCGGAGGGAGCGGTGAAC